GAGTTAAATAAAACATTGGTGAGAATCCAGAAAATAAGTACCTCTTTGTGGTTGTACATCAGTTAAGTTGCAATTTACATCCAGACTCCTATGATATTATAATCTTTATCGACTTATTTATTTAATTTATTATTTTATTAATCGTATATATATTTGAAGTACTATGAGCTGGTATGAGCCTTGTAAAGACATATCAGTGTTTATATTTGTCAAAATGTGCCACTATGAAAAACTTTATTGTACGTAATAATCAATGTAGAAAAGATAACCATTCATGTGTTTTACGTAATATTGTTATATTTAAAAAGATTTATGTTCAATATATGTATATATATATATATTCAAGTTCTATATATTTGGTTGTATTTGTATTTTACCAAGCCTAAATTACATTTTATTATCACAAGGGTTTGATAACGGCATCTAAGGACTCCTTGGAAAATGTTTATTTTCTAATATGCAGTATATATATCAACCGATATATCTGTATTGAAAATGTATTATTCTCTAATTTTGGTACCGGCCCCCTTATTTGTATTCGTATGCGTCCATAAACTTGGTCCATAACGGTGATTCTGATAAAACACAGTTGTAGACCTGATAACAAACAATCCTTCAAATATGGATGTTTCTACAAAGAAGCTACAGACTGAGACACGGAAGCTAAACTTACACTTTCAAGATGAAAACCCATGATTAGTGTCACTGATTCGGAAACTGACCAAACATGTAGAATGGCCATTCTTTACTTCTGCTGAGAAAAATAACAGTATGATGTCACAGTGAAGTAGACTTTGACTGAAATTTTAAAGATATTCCGTCAAGGCCTTCTAGACACATCGAGAATGGGATGGAAGGACGTACAGATGTGCAGACGACCACACAGACAACCCGAAAACATAATGCCTCCAGCAGCAGCTGTCCCTGCATGGCGCAGAGGCATTGAACAAAGAGAAAAATCAATGGGATCTAATTTCCTTGTGAACGACATTATTTTAAGCTTGGCTGAAATGAGTCTTGATAGATTGAAATGCAGTTATACACTGGCAGACACCAATTTAATTTCTTTCCCTGTCATGGGAACTCTGTCACCACACTTCCTGTAGGTACCATCCAAAGGAAGTCTGGCATCTGCTATTGGTGCAATAATTAAGTTGTGGACAGAAAACACACCTGCCAGACCAGAGTTCATGGCAAAGGACAGGATATTATGACACAGGTTCCGACGAGGCCACCATGGGACATTCACAGTGAACTGAATGTGAGACGATGGACAAAAGAATAACTGTGTGACAAACAACTTTGACTTTTAGTGTCGATCAATGTCAAAAAGACTGTTGGTGCTTCTCTGAAAAGAAAACTGAGAAGGTGGTCAAGGTACATTTATCCAACTTTTTGAATTTATAAAAATGAATCTTCGATATCATATCTTATATATAGAATTTTCGGACACATTTACAGTAAAGAACAATCTTTTAATCAGAGTGAAGTTAAAACTTAATCAACAGTGACTATCATCACAGTCAATCACAAGATTCCCTTTGAGTGCACGTCTAACCATAGTAAACTAATCTGATGTTGATACTGCCGTCACCCCCATTTTGTAGCTTCGGGGAAAGGCCGATGTGAGGTTCCACAGATAAAGTGGAACAAGGAAAATGACTGTCTGAGCGCCGGGTGTCTGTCAAAGCAGGAACTGGGAGGCGTTCTCGGTTGACCTCTGAGGGCAAGGACTTCCCAAAGCCCCTCTGCAAAACATCAGCAGACCCGGCAGCTGACATTGGGACACAGACTGCTGCGGCTATGCCTACTTTAAAAACTCCTCTCCTCCACTCACAGGGGCGAGATGGCAAAGCATGAAGCAGCAGCTATCACCTTGCCGATATGATCCGTCTGGAATGTGGCAAAGCTCTACTGTATGTGAACAGACACGTTTTGTGTTGTCAGATACAACGCTGGACAAATAGGAGGGTTCAAAGCCGACAGTAGCCTGATCCCGATCTGAAGAACAGGCATTAAGTTGTTGGTAGTGTGACACGTCACTTGTATGATTTATAATGCTTCATACGTGCATGACTCACGTAGATGGCTTATGACTAAGCATATATCAATACTGGAAGTCACACAGAGGTGTAACTGGCTCAGTGTCCTCACCTCCTAAGTTATAACTTAACTTTAATTTCTAGTTCCTTTATGTATTAAAATTCAAGTCTCAAACACTTTGCACCAAATTTAGCAAGTTTCTAATTTCCATGTGTCATCCCCTGCCCTGAAACAGGTGAATAGAAACAACTAGAATGGCACTCAGATGGCACAAAGCTCCGCCAAGGCCCAACAAGCTTCAGATATCAGTCCTCTTAAAATACCTTATATTTCTTTCATCAAGATCCACAAATTACTCTCGGAAAATTTTTTAAAAACTGCTACAACTTGCGATGTTAAAGAAAGTGAAAGAAAATTCCTGGATCTTCCCCGATTCTGATTACCACCAAACTGTAATCTCCCGACCCACATGCATCCTTCCACCAAGTTTCAAACTAATCTGTCCTGTTGTTTTCAAATAATTCTCCCAACAGACAGACAGACGGACGTAAACACAGTAAAACCTCTCATCTCCACTTTAAATGGACCAACAACCTTATATATGACATAAAGAATATTGATCAGACTCTAGATGATGCAGCAGACAGGATGAAGTATGAGTTCTGACCCCCTGACGGATGATGAATGATGAGTAAAAACAACTTTAACAGATCTGTGCAAGAGGCTCTGGCTAAGTGCTGGATTACTCAGTTGTTTTCATGTTCCCTGTGCTTATTCTGGCTGCTGTTCAAAAAAAACAGCGACCACGCTAGACCCCTCCCACCTATCCTTAAAACACATGCCCACCTCTGGAGCCTCGATCAGCCCCCGCGAGGAAAAGAACCAAACTCCTGCCGTGTGATTCACTTTATCTGCTCTGAGACAACCGGTGCGCGACTGTTTTCCTTGGGGAGCTCCAGAGAGCAACACATAGTGGTGCTATCACATGTTAAGGGGTTGGCTGAGTGGGTGGGTGGGTGGGAGGGAGGCTGGGAAGGGGAGAAGGGGGAGGCACAGAAGGTTTATGTTCATCATGTGTTTGAGCTGCTGCAGAACAAGTGAGTCACTCAAGTTAATCGCATTTATAAACGGTAAACATTTAACCAGGACAGGTCATGCTTGTTACTATGAGCGTGAACATGTTGTCTCCTGTCGTCACCAGCTGTTGACGTCCCGGCTTCAACTGCCATAAGTGTTTGTGCTCCCTGACTTTGCATATGATTTGCATGGCTGAGCTGCGGTGGTAGTACCAGTTTTCACTCTCTCCCCAGCCTGGGTTCTACTACACGTTCAACGTGAGCAGCCATGCCACATGTTCAGACAACCTACCGTGGAAAGAATACAACGATACAACTACTGATTAACTGGCTTGGGAAAGACTCTGTGTTAGGAGGCGGTGGAAAATTGACAGAGAATTTGTTGTTAAGGATTTAAAAACAGCTTTCCATTGTTGCAAATAATCTCCTAAAACAGCAAGGACTGTTGCTGCAGCTCCAAAACAATGCGCGCCTTACACCTCGTCAGCTCATTCCAACGTAATGACCGATCAAAACTCGCAGCCGTGTTTATTGAGGAACACAGTACACCTTCAGGCTGGAATGTTTGCAAGTATGTGAGAGTAGTATCTGAAAATATCCTTCTGCATTAGGACGCCAACTATGTCAGATGACAGCAAATCTGCCGAGTAAATGGCCCCGATTGTCCGCAGCCTGACTTTAAGTGGAAGGAATTTCAGATGGACAGATTATCGCATTGACAAGTCTGCCTGTTGTGGACACTCCATCTCATGACACTGTTTTCTGGCCCTGCATGAGTGAGGGTGTGTGGTTGTTTATAGGTTATTGCTCAGGGTGAGAAGCAGGTCGAGAAGAGCTGAGAGCTGCTCCCTGCTCTCTTGCCTGAGGAAGGCCATTATGTTATAGCTCCATTATGCCTGGTGATAGGGTCTCTCTCTCTCTCTCTCTCTCTCTCTCTCACTCTCCTGTTGTTTATACAGTAGTGCTATGAACAAAAGCAAGTTTTTCCCCCCCTGCACCACTGCAGCTGCTGTTCCATACTGACCACGGTGGTCTCTCTATGTAAACATTAACCAGCTTTAAGTGGAAGACAATGAGGAAATGACAGGACAAAAGCGGGGGGTGGGGGGGGGTTACAGCATTTCAAGGCATTCAAGGATGGATTTCCAGATGAAACACAAGAGATGACATCATGGCAAAGTCAGCTAGTAGGAACATGGAGAGGCCTGGTAATGTAACACCACGCATAAACAGTGGACAGCTGTATTTACAGGAGATTGTCTCATGGTTGTATCTGCCTCCATAAATCCTATTATCTGATTTGCAGGCTGCCCGGCTCCCGGAGAGAGGAGCAGCTTTGGCTTATGTGAAGCTTTATCCAGGCACTCAAGTGCTGCTGCAGTTATCACTATTGTTGGGACGTTAGAAAACTGGTCACACCAACCAACGCTTGATTAGACATTACCTCATGTTGATGGGATAAAGCAAAAATGGCAGTTTGAGTGTGTCTGGGTGCGATGTAGACAAAGGTAAAGGCAGCTGCTTGGTACAATACAGGCCTATATACATGATGGAGGACTGGGGAACATAGGAACACCCCCCCCCCCCCTAAAAGTGGGTGAAATGTGGCAAACTGCATTTTCAATTCACAAACATGGATTTGTAGTTTTACAAAAAAAATGATTCAGGCTGTTATTGTGGCTGAGCACCATGTGAAGTTCCCTCCATCAATAAGAGAGGAGGTCAGATGTGAGTGGGATGCACCTGCCACATCTGGACTTTGAACATCATGACACCTGGTTGAAAAGCAGAAAACCTTCAGACAAACTGGGTCACACCTCCAACCTTTGCAGCAGATACACACACTCGTAAACAAACAAAGCGAAAGTGCAATTCACTCACATATCTCCGCAGCTTTTTCTCCGGCGGTGACTTCCTCAGCCAGCCCTGGAAGATGATCTCCCCGCCGCTCATGTTTTCTCACAATCTGGCGTTTCCTCTTGCGCTACAACTGCGTGTCTCAGTACATGTCGGCTCCTCCTGGAGGTTTGAGTCCGTTCAAAGTGCTGCTGCTGTCGGCGTCCGGCTCCCTCTGATGCAGCCTGCTCCCCCCATTTGATTTAGACACAGACAAAAAAAGGAGAAAGGAAACAATCGCGTGTTGCTGGTGGGAGATGTAGAACCAGACGCTCCTGGTGGTACTGCGCGTAAAAATCCCCGCCCGAAGAGAAAAGCGCACGGAGACGCTTGGAGAATTACGCACGGCCAGCTGACGAGGAGCCGTGGGCCAAACTCAACTGATGCGGGGTGAGGAAGTATCACAGGGTGTCTGCAGTTTGTTTTCCCAACTCACACCACGCCCACGGAGCAAAGAAAGAGGGATGGGCCGCGGTTGGAAGAACAGGATGGAGTGCGCGTCACAAAGTAGCTCCGAGAGTTTGAATAATGGAGGGATCGGTGGATTTAGAGGCTGATGTTCGTCAGCAGCAACACAGAACTGTTGTTAACGTGATTCTGTTTCATTTTCCAATACTTACACCTGATCTGATTTCAAACGATTAAAACAAACATGTGCTGAAGGCTTTGCCAAATCCTAGAATCAATTACATCAACCATAATTAACAGAGGTTATTTATTCATATTTTTTCTGTTGTTTGAAAATTAATATTAAATCAATAGCCAACAGCTGGAATGAGTAAAGGGGTCATGATTTTTCAACTGCATGGCACAAGGGGGAGAAGGCACCATCTGGTGGAAAGGAACAGACAGTGTCTCTGAAAACCAACATCGACCTAAAATAATAAAATATGCAGGTAGAAAAGGAACGGTAAGAGTTTAAGGCTGGTTGATAAAACGATAACAATAGAACTTTTATCAATAGCAATATGACAAATGTTCAATATAGAGCAATCAGTAGATTGCTGATGCATTGTCCAAGCATGGTGTTGAGTTGTAATAATCAGGTTTAATGTTCTTGCTCAGATATGTAAAATGTTTTGCCATTTTCTGAGTTTAAAACACACAACTTAAATAAGGAGCAAAAATCAGTCTCAAACGTGACAGAAATAATAATTTGACACTTATTATAATTTAAGAGATCCACTGATTTCCATCTTGAAACCAACTTGATGTGACTAAACTCTTAAAAAAAAAAGACATTAAAGCATAATAACATGAATGCTTTTTGACAGAGATGATGTTTAGGCCTTGTGAATAGTAATTGTTGAACCAACTTAAAAAAAAAAAACCGTTGATTGATGATTTATTTTTAACACAATTGGAAACTTCAATTTGAAAAAAAAACAACTCATAACTTATCACTCAATTCAAACAACAGTTGCACATATATTTTCATATTCACACACAAAAAACCTAAACACTGTACAGTGTTAAATATCATATTTATTTAAGGTTTACCACACGGTAAAAACAGACTTTACACACTTAAAAAAGTATTTACTCGTCGAACAGTAGTTTTATAGAGGACAGGAACGGGAAAATCTAGGGAAAGGAACTACGTCTTTAATGTTGTCGACACCGAGGATACATTGTAAAAATCTCTCAAACCCGAGCCCGAAGCCGCCATGAGGGACCGAGCCGAAACGCCTCAAATCCAGATACCTGCAAATAAAGAAAACAGCATTAGAACTCTGCTGGTCTGTAAGGATGATGCTTTTTAAATGCTGTTCATGTCAATATTAGTATAATAATTTTTTTTTACCAGCTGTAGGTGTCTTCTAAACCAACCCTGGAAAAGAACGATAATTAATTAACATAAACTCAGGAGCTATAAATCTTCCCGAGCATCATTTTCATGTATCATCGATAATCGAGCTAACATTAACTGACTTTGTAGATTTTCTCTTCTGAACCTACATTGAGAACGGATGCTATACACATTTGGCTTGGATTTGGATTTTTTAAATATTGATTAAAACACGTTTTCCGACAAAAACATCTCCACCTGGAGAAAAGATTGTTGTGTCTTTGTGTGTGTTGTTGGATGGTTGTGTACAAACCATTTTTACTTTAACCAGCCAATGCAATATTTAAATACACCACACTATAATGCAGCAGCCGGCCCAGAATGCCACTCTGAGGATTAGCCCCTTAGCACAAGCTGACAACCGTATTCTAAATATATTAGCACGGGCTGATATACAGTATGTGTTCTTACGCTTCCAGCCGAGCACTCAGCAGATCCAGCCTCTCCTCTCTCAGTGAGCCCCCACACAGCTCACCCACTCCTGGCACAAGGAGGTCAACTGCGGCCGCCTGCAAACACAGAACACTCACTGTCACCTCAGATATGCAGAACAGCAGCGACATTACAAGGAAATAACTGAGCAGGTACATTATTGACTCGCTCAGCATTTTTTAACAGTGTCTCACGGTGTGCTTGGGACGGTCCAGGTTGTCTCTTGCATAAAACGGCTTAAGATCATAAGGATAATCAGTGACAAAGACTGGAGTGTTGCCGCAATGTTTCACCAGGTACTTCTCGTGTTCCGTCTGAAGGTCACATCCCCACTGCAGAAGAGAAGCGCTGAGGTCAGAGTGGAGTGAGACTGCTGGTAGCAAACATACAGTAGAAGTCGGCGAAAGGAGAAAAAAAGAAAGGATCCTGACTTACGTTTGTGGGGAAGACAAATTTCTGAGAGCTGCCATTCAGGATGTCTATAGCCTCACTGTAGGTAATCCTGAAATTGAGATGGTGTCATTTATTCAAGGACTTCAGCATTTCTCTTTATTCTGAACTCTTTTATATGGCATGTTTACAAAAACAGAGGCTTACACAGGGAATCTCCTCTTCGTCATGGCCTCTACTGTGCCCTTTGATTGATGTGACAGGAAAAACAATGTGAGTGGAAACGATAATGAAGTCAGGTGATGTTGGAACTGGTTGGTATGAGGAGGCAGGTTATGTGCCCGAGCTAAATAATCGTCCTTCAGCACCAGCACTCACCCTGTGTCCAGGAGTCACATGCTTGTGAAACAAATCCACATCCTCTGCACAGTGAGCCAGCACATGCTCCGTGGCAGACCTGAACATGTCCTCCATGACCTAAGGAGGGGACCCAGTTTAATAATTAAAGCTCTCCCGGGCAACTGTGCTCAAGGGCAGCTTCGAAAGTCACAAAAGCTACGTTTTAAAAAAAAAAAATCCTCTTTGTGCTTCTCTAATCCATATCAGAGCAAAACTGTTTTTGAGGTCAATGACATAGTGTACCTTGGTGAGATCCTCTAAGGACTGTGTGAAGGAGACCTCCGCCTCCACCATGTAGAACTCGGCCAGATGGCGCCTGCTCTGGGAGTTCTCTGCACGAAACGTTGGCCCAAATGTGTAGACTCTAGAAAAAGCTCTGCAAAAGTATGAGTGACAAGGCGTAATTACGAAGGCACTCCAGTGTGTGTGCATGCGTCTCTGAGGAAGAACCGAAGACTGTACATAAAGATGGATGAATTTCCTGGATACTGGAGCGCTGCCGTCTTGTGCTTTAAATATCGTTTGGTGCCAGAGTCTGTTCAGTAGTGATCTTTGTGTGGAGCCGCGATATCAAGGGCGATACATTCAACACAATATCGACACAAAGATTTATATACTGCAAAGATAGAAATTATCATCAAGAAAAATATTTGAGTACTTGGACATTTTAGTTTTACGAACTGACACCTCTTTTACACAGACAGAAGGTAAAAGCAGATATTTTATACAAGGGTAATCCACATAAACAAGACAATTAACTCCTTTCCCATTGCCGGTAGAGGAGTTTGACTTCTTTGTTCCTCGTGCGTCATGTTCAATGTCACAAGCGCACCGGAAGCTGAGGCACTCTCTCACTTGTGTCTCGTTTACATCACTGTCAATCAGAGACAGAGCCATTAGAAACTCGTGTCTACTGTAGAGTCATTTAATCGGGGAGTGAATGTTGATCGTGTCCACTCTCATTACAGTTTAGAGCAAGATGTTAGCTGTGATAGTGTTTTGACCAAATGGAAAAGGGGCTCTATACTGCAGCCAACCACCAGGAGACAATCCAAATAACAAGTTACTCATTAAAGGTGCAGTGTGTAGAATTTAGTGGTGAATTTGCATGTTGCAGCTGAAGTCCATCTTAATAAACAGTCTATGGGCAGAACATAAAATAAAAGCTGTGCAGATTATAACCAGGAATACATTTATTATACTTAATCTCACCCTGACATCACTTCCAAGTGAAGCTGACCGGACACGGTCAGGAAGGCCGGGACCGAGAAAAAGTTCTGATCTTCGTCGTGATCTGGGCCTGACGGCTGTGAAGTTTCAGACAATATCATGAATCCCTCTGTTGCATTTACAGCATCTTCCACTTTATCTTGAGTTCTCACCTCAACCTGAAATAGCTCCCCTGCCCCCTCACAGTCATTTGAGGTGATGATTGGAGTGTGAATTTGCACAAAGCCATTTTCCTGAAACAAAAATAAATAAATAGAAAAAGCTCCTGCTCTGCTTTAGATAATAACTCTTCCACTGATCTCTTCTCTTCCACTGACCTTGAAATATGAGTGAATTGCTGTAGTGGCCTCACTTCGTATTCTCAACAGGGAGCTAAAGGCATTTGTTCTGCACCTGAGATGAGGAAACTGACGAATATACTCGAGGTCGTGTCTCTCTTTGATTTTAAAAGGAAAATCCTGAAAGACAAAGCAACAGTATTTAGTTACATTCACTGGATGATTAAATTAAAGCTGATAAAGTGAGTTTGAACGTGGGATGTTTGAGGAAATTATTTTCATACCAGTGGATTACATTTTCCAACAACATGGATTTTCTCTGCCTCCAGTTCAATTGGCTGTTTCTGATGTGGACTTTTCTTAAGAATACCTGTGACTTCAACGGCGCTGCCAAATGTCAACAACCTTAATATGAGGGGGAATTATAAACAGTCAGATATGTTACATACGTGATAAGTGGATCCTTCATATGTGTAGAAATAAATCAAGTGCTTACGGATCATTCAGCTCAGAACCTGCAACAACCTGCAACGACTGCAAAGAGCTCCCATCATTCACATGGAGAAAGAGATTTGTCTTCTGGGGTCTGACAGAGCGAACCCATCCCTACAACAGAGATATAAAAAAACATTATTCAGTAACATCTTCTTTTTGTTTGAATGTTTACAAATGTAACTTCTCATTCTTTCCCACTAAACAAAACGTGAGTTACATGTACATAGTTTAGACACTGCTGTCAGTGCTTTACTACCTGCAGCAAACAATATGTACCTGCTTTCACGTTCACGTCACAGTTTGAAAATGCTTTTTGTAACCAGCTACAGGGTCTTTCTATTCTTTAATGGTTTAAACTCACTGTAACTGCAGATCACTGCACTGCACATACAGCATGTTTGGGATGTACCCACAGATTTTCAGCTGTGTTTAAGTCTGGGAACTGTGAATTCCAAAAGCTCCAGCTTGAGTTTCTTTTCCTTGTTGGACTTTGAGGTGTGTTTTGAATCATTGTCATGTAGAAGTCGGCCTCTTTACAGTTTCACTTTCTTGATACCAAGTGGAATCCATTCTTCACTCTAACTCTTCTATCTTTTCTGTCTGTTAAGTTTTAAAAGTCTCTTTGTTTGTTGTCACAATATCACAATCAATATTTCTTTTAAACACACTTTCAATAGCTTCAATGTCATATGACTCTGAGCCAGTGATAGAAACTGGTAATAATACAATTCAGCATTGGTCAGTGGTTCACAGGACATGGAAGCAATTTAAATAAAATACATTTGAAATACAGACAGACAGGCAGTTAGTTAGTTAGTTAGTTAGTTAGACAAACAGTTAGACAGACAGACAGACAGATAGACAGTTAGTTAGACAGACAGACAGACCAATAAACAAACAGACAGACAGACAGACAGTTAGTTAGACAGACCAATAAACAGACAGACAGACAGGCAGACAGATAGATAGGACAGTAAGATAAACATATAGACAAGCTGACAGATAGATGGATAGATAGA